CTTTAAATTCCAAACCAAATATTGGTGTGAAAAAAGTGAATAAAATGTAAAATACTTATATACTGATATTCCTTAAAGTATCTTGGGTTGCATCTTTAGAAATAAATAGTTAAAAAAAAATCTAGTACAGAACATACATAAATGCAACACATGCACTCAAATTTGGATACATAGCGAGTGGATTAAGTGCAATTATCACTCTGCAGGTACAGGAGGGATCAGGCTCTTTGTGTGTGATGGATCCGAGAGTCAGAAGTGTAAGTATACGGACCAGAGACACGTAACGACAATCTTCACATTTAACTTTTATTGAAAAAACAAACAACTTAAAATCAAAAACAAATTGATAAGAGACTTGCAGGTACTCCTGATCACTGGAAGTGGTGGTGAGCGAACCGGAGTACCTGCAAGCCTCTTATCAATTTGTTTATAATATGCACTCCAATATACTTTATGGAATATCGGTACCAGTGGCGGAACTACTGCGGTCGCTGCAGCCCCTGAGAATGTGGTGCCCGCACTTTAAGGGGTCCATTGGGTGGCCCATGCTCTTAGGGCCGCCCAATGGAAATTAATTTCCAGAGGCCCAGTCAGCGCTGTGGTGCTTTAACAGCGTGACTGGGCCCCTTGAGATGACATCACATCTGCCCTGATCACTCCTTCCAGCTTACATTGAGAGTGGCATGAGAAGAAATGGAGGGAGCCACCACTGGACCCCAGGGAAAGTCACCCTCCTGCACCTAAACAGTAGGAAGCTGGAAGGTGACTAAAACATTTTGTATATGTGTGTGTTTGTGTATGTGTGTCTGTATGAATGTTTGGATGTATGTGTGTTTGTATGTATGTATGTATGTATGCGTGTGTGTCTGTCTCTGTGTGTATGTATGTATGTATGTATGTTTGTGTGTTTGTATGTATGTGTGTTTGTATGTATGTGTGTGTGTCTGTATGTGTGTATCTATGTGTCTCTATGTGTGTATGTATGTGTGTTTGTATGTATGTATGTGTGTGTCTGTATGTGTGTGTGTATGTCTCTGTTTGTGTGTCTGTGTATATGTCTGTATATGTGTGTCTGTGTGTTTGTATGTATGTGTGTGTGTTTGTATGTATGTATGTATGTATGTATGTGTGTGTCTGTATGCATGTGTGCCTGTATGTGTGTGTCTGTGTGTGTCTCTGTATATGTATGTGTGTCTGCATGTGTGTGGGGGCAACATATAGGAGGGGGAGGGTAGACGTATTTGGAGTAGCGGGGGATAGACATATGGGGGGGCCACAGGGCATTTTTCGCACTGGGTCCCTGTGGTTTCTAGTCACGCCTCTGGTCAGTACATAGATTTTATAAGTTTAATTCAGTTTTTTGTGCACTCGTAATTCCAAGTAGACATAGGTGATTTGATATTCATGACAGATGACGTGCCAGGAATATCATAATATATTTTTTTTTCAAAAAATCAACAGTCTCTTGAAGTAAATAATGTCTAACACTAATCGTTCGATGAAAATTATCCATTTGAATCTGTTTAGTGGAAATGCTCCCTGGGAGTGCATATTGCATGAACGGGAGCTCTTTCTTTTCTTTTTTTCTTTTGTTTGGTGCATTTTCTATTCTCTTGATCATGAACAGCAAACTGGCAAACAAATTTAAAAAAGAATACTCCAGCACTCTTTTTTCAATTAAACCGCAGTCAAATCATTGGTGCCATAAAATTACATCAGCAACGTATTGACCATAACTTTTTTAAAGACGAGTTATGATCATAGGGATTACATCTCATTGACGGATTAGTGATGGACTATTTTTTTAAATTTTTTGTCATGATAAATTGTCACTTTGCTGTAAAAGATTTAAACTTAACCCCTTAAGGACTGGACTGTTTTTGCGATGTTGTACATTTGCGACCAGGCATATTTTTACACTTTTGTGGTGTTTGTGTTTGGCTGTAATTTTCCGCTTTCTCATTTACTGTTCCCATACAAATTATATATTGTTTTTTTCAGGACAAAAGGGGCTTTCTTTACATACCATTATTTATATAATCTCATGTATTTTAATTTAAAAAAAATACAAAAATCTGATGAAAAATTGAAAAAAATACATGTTTTTTGACTTTTACTTGAAAAATCTTTTACTCATCTACAAAAGCGAATGAAAAAAACTGCTAAATAGATTCAAAATTTTGTCCTGAGTTTAAAAATACCTAGTGTTTACGTGCTTTTTTGCTTTTTTTTGCATGTTATAGGGCTATAGGTACAAGTAGGATATTGCGGTTTCAAAACATACATTTTTAAAATTTATCAATAGTGACATTGTAACACTATTATCTGTCATAAATCTCTGAATAACACCCCACATGTACATATTTTTTTTAAAGTAGACAACCCAGGGTATTCAATATGGGGTATGTCCAGTCTTTTTTAGTAGCCACTTAGTCGAAAACACTGGCCAAAGTAAGCATTCATATTTGTTTGTGTGTGAAAAAAGTAAAAAAACTAAATTGAACGCTAATTTTGGCCAGTGTTTGTGACCAAGTGGTTACTAAAAAAGACTGGACATACCCCATTTGCAATACCTTGGGTTGTCTTCTTTTGCAAATGGTATGCCATCATGGGGGTAATTCTCATTCCTGGGCTACCATACGCTCTCAAAGGCAACGTAACCAACCTGGCCATTTTCAATGTAAAAATATTTGACCCATATATTTGACCTTGTAGCTTTCAAAAATGCTATAAAACCTGTACATGGGGGGTACTGTTTTACTCGGGAGACATCGCTGAACACAAATATTAGTGTTTAAAAACTGGAAAACGTATCACAACAATTATATCATCAGTAAAAGTGCTGTTTGTGTGTGAAAAATGCAAAAAAAGTAACTTTCACTGACAATATCATCGCTGTGATATGTTTTACTGTTTTGAATCACTAATATTTGTGTTCAGCGAAGTCTCCCGAGTAAAACAGTACCCCCCATGTACAGGTTTTAGGGTGTCGTAGAACGTTACAGGGTAAAATATAGTGCTAGCAAATTAAATTCTCTGGAATTTCGGCCTGGGTTGGCAGGCAGGTCACTCAAATTGCAATCAATAAAATTACTGAATTATGTAAAAATATTACATAAATACGCACGTAGAATTTAAATATATATGCATATTTATATATTTGAAGTCTACGTGTATATTTATATAATTATTTATGTAATTTTGTATATGGACGTATGTATATTTCTTATTATTTTTATTTATTTTTATATACATAGATATATATACAAATTCATTCTAAGTTTATTTTGATATAAATATATATATATTAATTTTAAAATACAGTTAGAATAAAATTTCATATAGCTATATAATTTTTTTTAAAATTTTTATTATTATTTTAAAAAAAATTTATTTAATTTAAATTACTTATTATTTATATTTTATAATAATATATATATACAATATATATAGTTATTATATATATTATATATATACGTGTGTAATTTAATTATAAGTGTATTTTTATATTAATATAAGTACATATTAATATAAAAATACACTTAGTATGGCATTATATATATGATATATAGACATATATTATATAGATATAATATATGTCTATATATCATATATACACATATATAATTATTTATTTATTTTTTATTAACATTAACTTTATTTTTTTAAATGATTTTACACTAGCAGGGAGACTGCCTGTCAGCACAGGCAGTCCCCCTGCAGGCAGACACTAGGACACCTATTGTGACCATGTGATCGCTGTGTTAAGCGATCACATGGCCACAGGGGTCCTAATCTGCCATGGGGAGACTGTCTGGGCTGCAGACAGTCTCCCCACAACCGGAGCCACGCTGATCGCCGCCGGGGGAACGGCGGCGATCAGGTAAGTAGCTCTGACCGTTAGGACGGTTCAGGACCGTCATCGGTCGGCAACGCAAAAATGCCGATGACGGTCCTGAACCGTCCTCGGTCCTTAAGGGATTAATATATGATCAAAAATAATGAAGGAGAAGATAAACAAAGTAAGCTAATAGTGTGTTTGCATATTGATATTTGAACTCTGTCTAAAGTTGTTTATACTTGTGCTGTGTTATTTCAAGGCGGAGCTGTCCAACTGCCCACCACCAGTGGACCTCAACTTGATGGACAATTAGAGTGATAACATGTTTCTATATCACAGCATGGAGTCAAAATTATTTATTATTAATAGTTATTAAAGTGACAGCAACAGTCAATGAAGCCCACGGACATGTTGTGAGCAAATCGAGGTAATACAACGGGAGTGCACAGTTTTTTTTTAATAATAAAAACAATTAAATATATATAAATAGGAAAGGTACATTTGAATTGTTGCCAGTTTTAAAGTACATCATGCGGTCTAGATATTATTATCCAACTTCACAGTACTACCCAACTTTGGATTGATGACAATATGTGTTCATTTTGCCAAGAATTAAAGCTATGTCTCTGAGGCTCGGCAACTGGTTTCCTTAACCACTATCTTTCATAATATATCAGGGTGTTTAATTCACTCCATAAAGTATAAATAAAGCAGGTTACATTTAGGTGCCTTAATTACTACACTTAGATATATAATTTTCCTATTATAAGACTCCTTTCAGGGCTGTGACGAGAGTCACATCATTTGGCAAAAATATATATTTAGATATCAGCAATGAAGAAATATTAGAAAAGGGAACTGTATGCATGCCTAAGGGAGACAGTAGAAAAGATTGATTATAATTGAATTAAAGAACCTTAGCGATTAGACAGCTTATGTAATGTGGTAAAAAATTACAACTTTGACTACAAATATAATAACTTGTATTGGAAAAAAATATTATGATTAGAGTTGAGTGAACCCGAACTGTAAAGATTTTTTTGACCCCAAACCCGAGCCCGGACATTTCAGTAACAGTTCGGGTTCGAGTTCAGGGGTGGGGGCCAGAGGGGAGGACATTAATTCCACCCACCAATTTTTATTTAGGACCCCCACCCACCGCTCAGGGGTGGGGGCCTGGGGGGAGGACACCTTTTTTTTTAACAGTGAGCAGCCATAGGCTTAATAGACATGCCCCTACTCGCAGTATAGCCAGTGGGGGCATAATTTACTAATACTAAGTAATCTTTACTTAGTATTAGTAAATTTGGCTGAAAGACCAATTCAGGTCTTTCAGCCTTTTAGTAGATAGATAGCTCTCTAATACTGTGGGAATTAGGGAGTTATCTACTTATTCATTCCTGTCATTACATTGACTGGCCAAGTAACTTACATTCTATATGAATGTGTGTTACTTGATTGTTGTAAGTGTTGCAAATGCTTACAGCTGAATCCTGGCTATGTTTGTACACTTTTTATTTAAAATTGTATACAGTGTAACATTTTTCTTCTTCCTCTGGGTAAGTATATTAGTACTTAGGCAATACATTTTACTTCCTTTTGCAGCCCTCAAGCCCTTCCCAGGACTTTCTTAGAGCAATTTTAGTGCCCAAAAGTTTGAGTTTGGGTCAAGTTCGAGTCCCGAACTCGAACTTTTTGCCAAAGTTCGGCCGAACCCGGCGAACCCGAACATCCAGGTGTCCGCTCAACTCTAATTATGATAGTATGTAGAAACATAATAGAAGCATTATATAAACAACTAAAATTTAATTTGTATGAATACTGGTTGTAGGGAATGGAGAAGCATTTGATTGCCTGTCTCCTGTATGATAAATAATTACATATGATTTGTACATTTCAATCACTCCCTTCTTTTGGTACAGGTGGCACGGAAAACATGTATCATAGCATTCTAAGCATGTTGCAAATTAATATATTTTCCCCACAATCAGAAGTGCATCCATTATATACTCATATTCTTCAGACCATGATTAAAAACTCCTTTGGGGCTTTTATGGCTTTACAATCAGCGATAATGACATAAAAAAAAAAAATGTAATTCTTTATTTTGGTGCAGCAAATGCCACCGTTTTATTTGTGTCTTAAAAAACAGAGAATAGATAATAAAAAATACAAAGAAAAAGGTATGCAGACAATATGCACGCATAGGCGAAGTATAAAGACAGTTGAGGTTCATAAATCCAACAACAAAAGATGCAATGCATCACATTGGGAATGTTAACATTCAAGGTCACTACTCCCTTCTGTATCTCGAGAGGGATAGGTGGTAGTTTAAGGCCCTTAAAAAATTCCAACGGGTCCTCTGAGGCTGACAATACATGGACAGTGTGCCCACTCAGCACCAGCAGTGTTCCCAGCCTCAACAAATCAATGGTTTCGTTGTTTGCATACCCAAACATTAATCGAGACGTGATGAAGGGTACAACAGGAATGTTTTATTCAGGCCAAATGGCCCACTAGTATACACAGACCTCCAGCATGGGATCTCAAGCAAAGACATAGTAAAATACGCCCAAAACACTCCCACAACATGCCCCAAAGTCTCTGTGTCTGGGAGATAATTTGTGTACTTTACTTAAACTAATTATCTCCCAGGCACTAGAGGTACAAAATATAAAATGTAAAATACCCCAAAACATACATAATATTAATAGGGACCCCCACAAATCCTATATTACCAGATAGCCTGGATCTGAGCGATCAAAGTGTCCAAATAGTGCTCAGATCTCACAAATACAGCCGAATCGTCACCAGTAAAGGTTTGACCGACCGCCCATGTAGACTTTGCGCAAAATAGTTCCATGAGAAAAGTGGTAGTGGTCAGTCATTTTCGGGAGTCCCAAAACGAAAGAAATACTGAACTGTTCCCCTGGCTCCTAGGTAGCGATTGTTCGCCTTGTTCCTACCGAACAACGCTGTCCTACCTTGTCGTGGAAAGAAGCAGGCGTTCACACCAAATCACCAGTGTTCACGGGGTCCAGTGTCTGCATTAGAGTTCCAGACACTAGATGACCAGGTACCGCTGCCTGCTTTCGGGAGACAAGATGGCAGCCATTTTCCAGTGCAAGTGTTGTTTGGTAATACGAACAGTAGCCACACAGAGAGAGCACTTAAGTTTGTGGTTTCTTTGAAGTTAAATGAGCCCGGTGGTTGGTCGGTGTTCGGTATATTACCAAATGTAGGGAAAAATAACTGGGACAAAGGAATACAGGGTTTTGTCACACATAAAGTAGTTGCCTAGTTGCCTCTATGTTTATCTGGGCCTTTGATTAAAGCAGAGATAGCTTACTTTGGCACCCCAGATGTATCTGGACAACAATGCCCTTGGTCCTGGGATACATTTAAATGACCAATTCAAGCACCATAACCACTACAGCAGGAGTGGGCTAGCATCCTCCCAAAGTAAGTAGTCAAACCATTTGATAACTAACAGGTGATCTGTCAGGTGTCCACTGCTGCCTCCCTTGTTGTTGGATCTTCTTATAGCTCCACTGAGCTAAGCCATGCCACACAGCCCCAGTTCATTGACTGAGCATATGAGTTAGGCACTCTCAGTTAATGAACACTTCCTACAGATGAGGCAGCAGCGGGCTTTAGGGAGATCCGAGGCAAGTTGCCAAGCTATTACCAAGTTGCCAAGTTTGAGTACTTATTGTTGGAGGGTGCTATGGCAGTGGGCTTCAGTGGTTATCGTGCTCGGATTATTCTATTAAAGTTGTCGTAGCATCATGAGAGATGTTATTCAAAAACGTGTGGGATTAAATTGACCATTATTGGTTTGAGCCTGTTAACCCCTTAAGGACCAAACTTCTGGAATAAAAGGGAATCATGACATGTCACACATGTCATGTGTCCTTAAGGGGTTAAAATAAGTGAAAAAGAAGAAGCTTTTTTTCTAACTAGTACATGGTGCTGGTAATAATGCCACCTGCAGTGAGTAGAATATCACACCAGCTACCCCATTTAGAGTGTATTCCTTAATAATATTAATCTTTAAATAATCACTTTGTTACTAGAGTTGTTTGCATTGGATTACACAAGTTCATAGGCTAAAATATCTACTTACTTATTAACAACTGTCACATTATTTCAATATTTCATAATTCTTCACAAACGGTCATTAATTCTCTGGTGAATTGTGTTTAAGATGTGCTGTGTTCAAGTGGACTTTTTTAGCTTTTAGTAATTATTCTCTCATTTGCCTGGAAGGTTGGATTTACTATTAAAACCGTATTATTGACAATCTGGTAAACAGAGGAACAATTTAGGTCTGTTGCTGCGAGCTATATGATGCAATATGTCAAACAATAGCTTAACCTTCTAAGCTGTGTATCAGCTAATGATATGCCAGGAGTTGCGCTGGGGAGACAGAGACAGTGTGATCCATTCCACTCAGCTCCTCTCTTGGTCTGTCACTTACATGATAACTAACAGCTAACGATATGCCAGAAAAAGAGCTGGGGAGACAGACAGTATGATCCACTCTTCTCAGCTCCTCTCTTGGTCTATCACTTACATGAGAGGAGTTGAAATAATGTTGTAGCGGAAAATAACAGCTGTTGCCCAGGTGTGTTACATCCACTAACCATAAGTATTACCAGGTATTACCATAACCCAAACCTTAACCCCAACGCTAGCTCTAACACTAGCTCTAACATTAGTTTTCAGAAATCGTAAAAAAATCCCATCATTTTGAAAGATAATACCAGCGAAATGTGGGGAAATAAGGCCATCTTGGGCTTCTGGAAACATTTAATCTTTCCTAATACATGCATCTCCATAGATAGAGATAAATACATAAACAATAAAATCAGTTGCATTATTTGCAATAAAGGGGTTAAGTAGCATTATTTCTTTGATAAATGTTGCTTTCAAATTCTAGGAGAAGCAATTTTTAAAGGAAGTTTTTCTCGTTTTCAAAGGTTAGTTCTCTGTTCAGAAGATATTCCACCCTCATTAAACCTAGTTCCATATTGCATGCACCTTCTTGCCCTTGCTGTCCATCATCAAGATTTCAGTTAAGCGCCTCTTCAATAGGCTTGCTTTAGATCTTTGAAAACCTGAAAATAAGTATTTTTCGTTTGACCTTGACCCTGACAATTGTAATATTCAAGGACTTGCAATAGGGGCCTGAGTTCCGTTTAATAATCTGTCTGCTGTGTTTTACTTTGTGATGAATTTCTATGCAGTGCCTTGACTTATGTGAGGTATTTCTGGACTGCAACATTGACCCTAATCTTCATCAGAGAAATGTGTGCGTGTCTGTAGAGCGAATCCATGTGCATTATCAACACTTTAGAAAAAGAAAATTCTGTCGTGCTGATGCCTTTACGTTCATCTCTCTAATGTAATAACTCTAAGTGCAGGTTTGCAGTCTGCTGAGTGATAAAAAAAAATTTTAAATGTCAAAAGTTCACATAGTTTTTTCTAAACAACACTGATAAACGCAGTGACTTAACAGAACCAAACTGTATCTCTTGCAGGAAGGAGATTTATTAATATTCCTTCGTGGACGCGTACTGCTGCACACATTCTATATCTCATTAAACTGGGAGGCAATTATAATTTTTCAATCCAAATCTGATTTTGCATGCTACTTGCTGTACACATATTTACATTTATTAATAAAATAGTGCCATATGTAAAAATGGGCAACAAAATATTTTAATCTTAGCAAGTCTCTCAAAAATGTGATTTTGTATCTCAGTAGAGTGAGCTGTTTTATATGCTAGGAGCTCCCAGGGAATCTTATGCAGATTTCCTTTAAATCCCATTTCTGCCACCAGTATGCACAATCTCTTGTGTAGTGGTAAATACAGAACTAGTATTGTGGTGCTGGTGATATTTCTTACTTGGGAGATGTGTCAGTAGGGCATCAATAAATTATATATATGTACATATAAATATATTTATCATTAGGATCAATAGTTTCCGGATTTTAGCACTATACAAGCTTCCTCCAAACCATTCCCTCAACAGCTAAATTTGACCACAAATATAACTTTTTAGTAAACAACCCTCTAATTTATCATCTTTCTTCATGTAACCAATATATGGACAATGTGTAAATTATTTTAATCGAATCTCCTGTAGCACTATACTGGTTCATTCTGTGCTGCTGTTACTAAATTTGATGTGGTCTAGCCTGGGTGGTAGAATGAGAATATGTCTGTTTAGGAGCAGCTGCTGATTTACAAACCAGAGAAATAGTTATAGACAAAAATCTGCAATAGATGTAAGTGGAGGCTATTTAGTGTAAGAAGATTCCGATTGCTATTACAATGAATTTACAATTATACAGCATGGGCTTATCTCAACCAATGAGTTAAGTGCAAGGGAGCTAAAGGAAGTTCCAAGCAAGAAATCAAACCATTCAAAGGAAGTTGTAGTAGTTTTGGTGCTTTAAGTGTTCCTTTAGTAACAGAGGAGTCAAAAGTTAAATCATATGCTCCAGATTTGCTAGTGATAACGTAAGGGAATACTAGATATTTATACGCTTTGTATATTGTTATGTTTTGTTATTGCAATGCTAAACGTTTGGAAAGTTTACGTAAAGTCAGCAAACATCTACTGCTGTTTTTGTTTTAACAATGTTTGTTCATTAAAGGACCACTATAGTGCCAGGAAAACATACTTGTTTTCCTGGCACTATACCTTCATTAAGCTGAAGTGGTCTGGGTGCCTATAGTAGTCCTTTAAACAGAGATTATTTAGTGTTGACATTTCAGGGGTTTTATTTGTTGCGATTTTGTTTTGAGTGTTTTTATATGTGTCTGTAATACATGCATGTAGAACCTTTTTCCAGCGCTGGGCGGGGAGCTCTCCTCCTTCTCTCCTCCTCCGTTCCGCCCAGTCGGCTGAATGCGCACGCACGGCAAGAGCTGCGCGCGCATTCAGCCAGTCGCATAGGAAAGCATTTACAATGCTTTCCTATGGACGCTGGTGTGCTCTCACTGTGAAAATCACAGTGAGAAGCACGCAAGCGCCTCTAGTGGCTGTCAATGAGACAGCCACTAGAGGATTAGGGGGAAGGCTTAACCCATTAATAAACATAGCAGTTTCTCTGAAACTGCTATGTTTATTTAAAAATGGGTTAACCCTAGCTGGACCTGGCACCCAGACCACTTCATTAAGCTGAAGTGGTCTGGGAGCCTAGAGTGGTCCTTTAAGGGAAATCACTCAACTCCCAGTTTTAATTTAACTAAAATATAAGGCTGCTTTGACTAACAGACTGTTAGCCAATATGAGACCTTGCCATATTCACTATGTTGTTAATTTTTCCATATGGAGCCTTCCTTCTAATAATAAAAATATTAATAATAAATTAGCAGAGACTATTTAATTTTAGAAAAATTTACTCAATCATCTTCACTCATCACCTAGAAGACATACAGCTGATTTCACGTTTAGTTGTTTATGATCATATTTATGTAAGAAATACGTTCAAAAAATACACTTCTATACATAATAACATAAATACATATTAAAATATAATCACATTATACATTCATATGTAAGCTTTCCCACCAAAGCCTAAGAAAAGAAAATACCAGATTCCTCAGCAATATATAGATACATAATAGACTGTACAAAATAATATTAATGATACGAAATACATATTCTTCATTATCGGAGTATAAAAAAAATGATAATTCCGTCAATGCACGGTTAAGGGATAAATCATGTTTTTTTTAGGATTTTGGACTAATGGTAAAAATGTGACAACTTTTTTTAACTTTACAAAATTCTCATTTGTTTGTGATGGGGGAAGTTAGAAGACTTACAACTTGTGTTTTCTCTGACTAAAAATGCGTTTGTGCGTTACATTATAGTTCTGTTATATTGGCAGTTTTTATTTGGCACAAAATCTGAGCACACAGCAAAATTGCACTAAAACACATCAGAAACGTACAATATACACTCCAATCAGTTCTCTAATTTAAATATATACTGGTTACTCTTTAATGCAGAGGCGCCCAAAAGGTAGATCCCCAGATGTTTTAAAACTACACCTTCCATGATGTTTTGTCATTCTAGAGGCATTCTAAAGGATCATGGGAGTGGTAGTTTTACAAAATCTGGAGATCTACCTTTTGGGCATCCCTGCTTTAAAGTATTTTAATATGGTACATCTATCTGACATAGTGGCTCCCAGCAAACTTACATGTGTATAACATTAGGATAGTGAACTGTTTATTTCTTTCAGTTAATAACTTGCTTGTTCGGTAGAAATGTGGCTACTACACATTGCTGTTGGGAATTGTTGCCTGTAAGCATTTTGTGTAAGCAATTATGTAGCTAAGCAGAAATAAATTCATCTTTATAGCAATAACTCCCTACAGTGTGCATATGAACAAAACGAACACAATTAACCTGCAGGGAGAGTGCTTGTTCAAGATTCCTTTCTGGGCTATGTAAGAGGTGAATCACAAACAATTAAGTAACTAGAATTCACAGTTGCCCTACAAGCAGAGTCTTGTGCTCATTATTGATGTATGACTTATAAACACGAAAGGTTAAAAGGCAATTTTTTTGGGGGGGCATTACATTTGTCGTAATGCATAATGCATCTTTTATATACCCTGCAAAAATATACATATTTATGGAAGTTTTCCATTATCTTTTTAAATCCTTTAATGATCTATCCCATGTGTCTCTTTGTATAGCCTGGGTGTTTTAACCCCTTAAAGACACATGGCATGTGTGACATGTCATGATTCCATTTTATTCCAGAAGTTTGGTCCTTAAGGGGTTAAAAAAAATCTACTATACTAGGTGATACTGTTATTTTAGATTAATATCTATATAAGCAAATTAGCAGCTTTTTACATTTAAACAAAAAGAACATTTAAGTAACCCAAATGTAATCTTCGTTTCTTGAAAAATAATTTAAATTACAAATGTTTTTTGTGGTTTAGAATTTCTCTACGGCCTTAGGAAGAGTGTGTGCTGAGTATAATTCGACAGATTGCCTCTTATTCTCTTGTTTGTTTTCCCAAGACTCGTCCTCTGGTTCATAAGTACCTTTCAAAATCGCCAATCTATCTGAGAAGCTCTTATTATATGGGAAGAGAATCATATTGTAAACGACTGAAGCTAAAATTCCACCAACTATTGGTCCGATCCAAAACACCTAGGACACAGAAAAATAATAATTTGAATATGTTAGAATTGCATTCTCTATATAACATTTTATATTTCATTCTCTGTTTTGTTGTGTCGTGGCTGCCAGAATGTGTTGATTTGTGCCTGAATTTTGTCTCACTGGAAAATGTGCTGTTACATATTATACTTTGTCTGAGAGTGTGAGAGTTGCAACATTCTTATGTAAAATTAAATAAAGGTAATGCTTAAAGGACCACTATAGTGCCAGGAAAACATACTCGTTTTCCTGGCACTATAGGGTCTCTAGGTCCCCTCCACTCTTAGGGTCCCCCTCCCGCCGGGCTGAAGTTGGAGGAAGGGGGTAATCACTTATCTTTTCTCCACCGCCAGGCTCCCTCGGCGGTGGGGACTCTCCGCCTCCTTTCCCCGTCATCGGCGGAATGCACATGTGCGGCAAGAGCTGCGCGCGCATTCAGCCAGTTTCATAGGAAAGCATTCTCAATGAGACAGCCACTAGAGGCTGGATTAACCCTAAAGTAAACATAGCAGTTTCTCTAAAACTGCTATGTTTACAGCAGAAAGGGTTAATCCTAGATGGACCTGGCACCCAGACCACTTCATTAAGCTTAAGTGGTCTGGGTGTCTATAGTGGTCCTTTAAACAGAGATTATTTAGTGTTAACATTTGAGGGGTTTTATTTGTTGCAATTTTGTTTTGAGTGTTTTTATATGTGTCTGTAATACATTCGTGTAGAACATGCTCTGCCATTTTGCTTCAGAACTAGCATAACAGCTATAGCAACACACTGCTAACAAAAAATTGAAAATGCGCTGATAAATCCCTCTGAGTTCTTAATAAATGTATGCCAGAACACTATTTTAATCTAGTGCAGGGGTAGGCAATCTTTGGCACTCCAGATATGGACTACATTTCCCATAATGTAGGAATGGCCAAAATGATGGCAAAGTAGTACACCACATCTAGAGTGCTGAAGGTTGCCTTCCCCTGACCTAGTGTTAAACACATGCTTGTAATGATCAACAACCTGCATAACTCACAAATTGACTCATGGAATTACTCCAATCATACCGCTAAACAGGTAGCACTGGATTAAAAAAGAGAATATATATCAATGACCAGTGACTAAGGCAATATGTGATCAACACTGCACCCTGTGGCCACATGTGGAATAGCAACTTAAAATAATTTTTGTCTATATGCGCATTATCACATTATAAGGATGTCTTACCCAATGGTAAGCAAAGATTCCAGTAATGGCAGCAGGTCCAAGGGATCGAGCAGGATTCATGGAGCAGCCGGTAAAGTAGATCTGTAAGTAGAGAGTATTGATTAGCAATCACAAAGAATCGACATTGCTTCACTGTGTAAGGCAAAAACAACACAAATCTATGGTAAACATAATATCGCTCTATTTAGAATTAAAGACATGTTATGATTGTCAAAAGTTTTCTAATACTAGATTTGTAATTGATACTGAGACTAAATAAATGATATTTTTCATGTAATGCTACATTTTGGCTTTTGGAAAAAAAATTGAGTGAATAGTATCTAATGCTTTACTACATGAAAAATGCAAGCTACAGTTGCTCGGTGACTTGGTAATACGGCTGTAAATGTGTATAGGAAGGGAACAAAAGACAATGATAAAATGCATCCAGAAAAAAGTGAAAATAAACTTTGAGTTCAACTTTTGCTGTTTTGGTTGAAGCACATGTTTTGAGAGGCTTGCTGCAGGTGTGCAATATAACAGATATGCATATTTGCAGACAGATGCTGTTACAGTTTCTTGCATGCCCTATGCGGTCTGATAGGCCACCAGGTTACAGGAGTTTTCCACTGGCATAAGAGTTTTTTCCAGCCAATCAGCTGCAGTTGTCGGTAAAATGAAAATCTCTCTGCTACATCAGTGATAGATAATTCTAGATCAGTACAGTATCAGGACAGCCTGCTTGCTTTACTTTGAAGTCATTCAGCTTAGAATAAGATGACATATGTCTGAGAAAGTACCCGTCATTTTATGTTCAGTGTGTGACATCTGGGCTTTTAACCTTGCTTCATCATATTTCATATTTGTCCAAATAAAAAAGCCTCTCTGCCTCTCTGCCTCCCTGTGCTGGATCAGTTTACAGTAAAGGAACATAATACTTTATAACATTTAAACCAAATTCATAGCATTGTAGTTTTCTTTTCCCCTGAAATGTTAGCAATGTAACTTTTAAAATAGCAGAGCACATCTTGAGATTCAATAGCTTGGACGACTCCCAAGTACTGTTGAAATTGAGATTGAAAAATCTTTAACCCTCAAGTTACCCTTATGTGTTTTAACTGCATTGCATAACATCCAAATGTGAGATTTGCATGTCCTACTAATTAATGCTAAAACAGCAGCTCTTCTAGTGTGTGCAACAAATCCATTCTCCAAATTTCTTCTTTATGTTAGAACATGTGCTAACAGACAGAAATACATTTTTCCTTATACCAATAGATTCAACAGGATTTATTAGTTACATAATCAACAGAAAATAATCTTACCCCCAAAAGGTGCCCTAGGGTAACAGACAGCCCAATCGATAAGGCAGGAGACCCCAGGTTGTCATTTCTCCGTCCATCAGTTGACGCAAAAATGCAGAGAACCAGTTGGAATGTTAGTATCAGCTCTACAGCAAAACACTGTCCTGGAGTCCCATTGTTTACCTGCAAGTGAGACAGTTATATTAATCACTTAAAAAAAATAAATTAATAAAACAAAAAACAACATTTCTCATAATTTTACATTGTATACAAGTAGTTTTCTTGTTCTCTTCCTTTGTACAGTAACCTATTTATTGTGATATTCCAAGCTACTCACTTTTGAGTGTGACATATTTAACACTAGAGAACACATACATATATTAATTATGATTCAGGGAACATTAATTACACCTTTAGTTAGACTATGCAAAAAAATCAATTAGCACTGGCTGAACCTGCACAGAAAATACAAATAAAAACGAAATTGGCTATATTAGAAATATGGATATATATTTCAGTATTTGCTATCAATTCAGATTAGAAATAACTATTCATACCTTTCACACCCAGTAATTTGTTGTTATACGTAGATTACATCAAACGATGCCAGCTGGCTTCGCGTTTACATAGATTACATGGGCTTAATTTGCAATGGTTTCTGAGCAAATACTGATTCCAATAACTTCCAAACAATATATTGTGCTTTAAAAATATGATATCTACAATTTTCAAAACTGCAAAGATAAAACCATGATCCTTTGTTCATTTTTTTTTTTTTTTTTCATAAAGAGAAATTTTAGGACAAAGTTCTATAGAGGAACAATTAACAGCAACAATTCTATTGGTTTCCATGGTGATCAATAAATTTTTAACATATTGTTCCAGAATAGCTTATATATATACAGTATACCAAACCAGCACTTGCAGAATAACCCATTTTTTTCTAACCAAAATAACTTTAAATATTAATGAATACTTACCCCATTAATTGCTAAGTCGCCACGGACTTCACTGGGTGTAACTCCGTAAAGAATGCCAGCACCTGCTATTGCTCCAACCAGCTGGGCTATAATGTAGAAGAAGGCTCGCAGTATGGATATGTGGGAACCAAGCAAAAATGCTATAGTGACGGCTGGGTTTATATGAGCCCCACTAACATGTCCTAAAGCTTGTACTAAAGTACCTATAGCAAGGCCAAAAGCAAATGCAATCTGTAAGACACTCGGCAGAGATGGTAACCAGTTTAAAGCAGAGCCCAGTCCCAAAAAGACAAATATCAGAGTGGCCAAAAACTCTGAAAACACTGCCCGGAGAAAAGCTAGGGAACAGATTTCATTCCTCATTGTGCGCTTTGTAATAAATAAACAAAAATAACAAGCAAAAGTAATGAACTGCTCCTTGTCAGTGTTCCCGTTGACTGGTAAGGTATTTAGAGGTATATATACATTTGCTAGAAGAACAGGGAAGCTTTCCAAAAAAGAGGTGGGACCAAGTTAGTAGACAGATCCGTATGCAAGATGAAAATTTTCCAGCACTGTGGCATTCAGAGCTTGCCTAATAGCCTACAGTGTAATAGAAAGTTCCTATTTCCACTAGTGACACATGCTGCATCATACAAACCTATAGAATGCCAGTAACACCCCATGTGGCACGATAGAAAGAGGACTACATAGACATTTCTGCTTATAACAGCTGTTGTTATTTCACTGTTGGAATATGACCTGATACATTGCTTTATGTTAGCAAGTTTACTGCACATTCTAATGGAGCCAATATTGGCCTTGATTTATTACTTTTTTTTTTTTTTTTTTTAAATGATTCAATACTGTTAGAAAAACTGTACAAATTATCTACAGAAGCCACCACTAAAGTCTATGGGAATGTTTGTAGACAAATCATGTTGAAAGTGTTTTCTAACAATTTAAATCATTTGGAAAGTTTATTAAATCAAGGCCATTATTTGTAATTCTGAATTTCTACATTTTGGAACTCAAGGTGGATCAGTTGAACCCTCCCTCCTCCCTCCCCCCCAGGGAACACCCAGTACATGCATTTCTTAATAGTGGTTCTGCTAGAAGGATGCAACACATACAAATTCATGTTAAAGGAACACTTGAAGCATTATAACTACTACAGTGCACTGAAGTGGTTATGGTGCCAGGAACGATCTGAATGGTTTGACTTCTTACCTGTAGTCCACTGGGCCCCACTGACTGCCTATTCTACAGTTCAGCAAGAGCTGGAAACTCCTTCTCATTTATAATAACAATAACTAGTATTTATATAGCCCCTTTCTCTCAGTGGGACTCAAAGTGTTTTTCAGCACATGCTCTTGGAGTTAACCAAATCAGCAGCTAAACAGTAATAGATTTTATTATTACCCAATTGATAGCACTAATTTTATTAACCTTGGAAGAATGAATGGCTGAGTTGACCCTGCTTGAATCTGAACCTGTGACCTTGCATTTTTGAACAATCTTTGTAATCAGGGAATTTACCAACTGAGCAACCTCACCTCATTTAGCTCTACTGGGTTAAGCTCTGTAGTGCTTAACCCAGTGACAGAGAGCATCCATTAATCCCTCTCTGCCAATGAGCTTAGCCCTGCACTGCTAGGTTTAGCTCAGTGAACTAAGCTACCAGCTCTCACTGAACTGTAGTGGAGGCAGGGTGAGATGCCTGCTGGACCCCATTAATAGGTCAAATTGTTCTAAAATGGCTCGGGGGGCATCAAGCACTACTGGCAACACAACCACTACAGTGTGATAAAGTACTTATAGTGCTTGGAATGTTCTTTTAAGGCAAGCATGCACTTTAGAAATTGAAAGAATACATTTGGGGAGTGTAGAAAGTTGTAAGTATTGAAGCTAACAATGTTAAAATTAGTACAGTGCTCACTGATATTGGGGAACTTTGATGCAGTGTTGGGCTTAAATTTGACCACTTGGCAAACAATTTACTATATTCTCAGATCATTTCTAAAACTGTCTCTTTACTTACAAAAATGTAGACACAGGTTAGGCTTCTCTTCCGATTATGCAGATGACACTCCTCAGTAGAGGGGTCTCTAAGTGCATTGATATGGCTTCAGAGTTAATCTCATTCCTAGCTCTGTGATAATATAATATTTTTTTTTAAATTATTTTATTTTTAGTTTTACAGGAAAAAGTCATAAACTATATAGATATATTTTTAAAAGATAACAAAAAAAATTGCATATTTATAACAACTCCACTGTTAAGAGATATAATTTAACGTAGAATAGGGAGAATATAGAGCTATGGAGTACGGCATGAAAAGCTATAGTCAAATTGGAAAAAAGGCAATTGTGAAAAGTTGAAATAGAGGAGATTCTAGAAGGAGGATGAAATATAGACATAGTTACCTAGTTACATTGGCTGAAAAAGATTTGTGTCTATCAAGTTCAGCTTTTCTCACACTTTTTGTTTCTGTTGATCCAAAAGAAGTACAAAAAACTGTTTAAAGAGCTGTCCAATTTTGCATCACACTAGTAAAATAAACCTTCTTACTCCAGGATGGCAGTCCGATCTCTCCTTGGATTAAAGTGGCACTGTCATGCCGAACTTACCTTTCTTTAATCAATTACTCTTCTCTCCCTCTGTCAGGTTCTGTTCTTCATTTCTTCCTGTCTGCTCTAGTTTTCTTTTTAACATAAAACAAAGTAGGGACTATTTGTCTTATGGAGGTTTCCCACGCTTGACCAGCTTTGACCGGCGGAGGAACAAAGTGTGTTCGTTCATGTTAGGACGCAATTCGTGACTTTGTTCGGATCGGAATTTCATTCTAATAAATGAAATTCCGATCCGATTCTTGTCGCGGCTGTATCTTGCAGCCGCTTAGTAGATAGCTCCCTAATTCCCATGGAACAAGGATTAGGAGAATGGAAATGAAGAGTTGGACAGTGGAATAAAAACAGAGTAGGTGTTGGTGGAAGTTTAATTGTGAACAAATTTAGTTATCCAAGGCTTCCAGGTTTTATTAAACATGGGAAGCGCGTTTTGAATGCTTGCCGTCAAAAAGTTCATTTAATAGTTGTATCTGATTGTGAAACAACAACAACATTTTGTGCTTCAAAAATCTAACATTCCCTGAAGCTGCACCAGCCACATAACCATGCAGAGATACACTGCAACAAAGTTGGAATCATGGCAGCAAGTCCACAGACATCTCCCACGTGGCCACAATGCTTACATCAAAACATTCCGTGTATGTTTTTGGGCAATACAGGAGTGATGAAATCTGACCAGTAGGATTTCATCAGGCAGTAGATTGCTGTTTTCATTTATTTTCTTAATGCAAACATATGCATTCATTGGGACTATTTTTAGCATAATTTTTTTCAGTTTTTTTTCCTTTTTTTCCCTTTTTTTCTCTTATTCTTTTTTTAATTTTTGCATTTTGTTCTTATTTTTTCACCTGCGAAGTTACAACATTGGATCTATACCAAGAGTTCCTATTTTGAATCCATCCAACACATTGTGGCTATTAACCTGCATGACTGAGATTTGTGCACAAGGACTGTGATTTTGTGGTGTAGGAAGCATGTTTATAAGGTTTTATTTTACCATTGATATGTGTGTAAATGTGCTTGCATGCTATAATTGACTATTGTTTTTTTGTACATTAAACATTGTTTTGCTTTTTTGGTTTTCGTGTCTTATGTAGGGAAGTATATGTGCTAAATCCCAATTACAAAGTATACTAGGATATAAACCAATGCTAACATGATATAGAAAGGACTCCGAACACGTAGACCCGATTTCACAAAAGAGAGTTCTATAAACTGTAGTACCAGTCCTTAGAGTGTCTTGGTTTACTTAAGAATGGTCATAGAGATAGGCAAAGTTAAGATAGGCGAAAACATAGTTAACAGTAGACAAGCCAAATATCAGAGTATAGAGAATATTTGATGTAATTAGCGCATGCTGAATAGGTGTTTAGGGGCACATTATGCAGGTGAATAAGTAGACACACAATAGGCAATGTGCGGCATCAGCAACCATGCTGGAGTTGCACGGTGGATCCCTAATAGCAGTGTGTGATACCAATGATCATTGTATTCTCACAATCCACAGGTCAACTAAAGGTCTTGATGCTTGGCTCTTTGTAAATTTAACTCTCTACCTCCCTGATAAAGAAAAAAACAACAAAAATTGGTTCTGGTGTGTGACGCCAGCTTTTCCAGGATTAAAAAAAATCAGATGAAAAAAAAAATATTCTAAGCCACTCTACTGGCAATTTACGTCTCATCTAATTGAGTGAAAGAAGCTGCCTACCCATGCTTTATTACAATGCATATCCTGCTTAGTGAGATTCTGGTTGAGGCTAGTGGGATTTAAAATAATGAGTTGCTCAACGATTATATTAAAACCATTTACTTGAGAAATTTTACATTCTTCTGCTGATCAGATCACTTCCAGATTTAATTTTGAAATGCTATAGGATTTGAAGTTCCAAAATTACTGCATCGTTAGCACCACATACGCTGCCCTATAGAGTACTCTGATAGTCTGCCCCATAAATGTTCTGTACTTTGATACCAACCCCAGTTTTAGGCTCCGTGAGTGGCAAGCCTTAGATTGGGTTTTTGTACAGCAGTGAGAGAATTTTCCTGGTAAGCAGTTGAAAGGGTGCACCAGGTCTTTGTGCAGATGACATTGGGGGCTCTGTAATGGGGATATATGTGGGGAGTACCCTGTTATGAAGATATACATGACGGTTCTATAATTAAGAGCTCTGCAATGACAATGTAAGTAAGAGTGCTGTTTGGAGATATAAATGAGTGGGAGGCTTTTTTAAGATGTAAATGAAAGAGGGAATTACTTGGCACGGGAACATGAAATATAATTTGGGTATGTGCTGGTAAATGTAGGGATGTAAATTAGTGAGGGGTTAACTTTGCAAATGACTAGTGCGATGGACGCGCATGTTCCTTTGCTTTGCGATCATTAATGGGACAAAATATGATATATACAGGGAGTGCAGAATTATTAGGCAAATGAGTATTTTGACCACATCATCCTCTTTATGCATGTTGTCTTACTCCAAGCTGTATAGGCTCGAAAACCTACTACCAATTAAGCATATTAGGTGATGTGCATCTCTGTAATGAGAAGGGGTGTGGTCTAATGACATCAACACCCTATATCAGGTGTGCATAATTATTAGGCAACTTCCTTTCCTTTGGCAAAATGGGTCAAAAGAAGGACTTGACAGGCTCAGAAAAGTAAAAAAATAGTGAGATATCTTGCAGAGGGATGCACTCTTAAAATTGCAAAGCTTCTGAAGCGTGATCATCAAACAATCAAGCGTTTCATTCAAA